GATATGACGTCATCCTCTCACTCACAGCCACATTTACTTAATAAACGGTGCCGGTGTTCGTCTCAAGGAATGTCTTTAATGGAGTATGTATTGGCCAATGGATGTTATCCATCCCATGGGCACTACATAGTGAATTCACTTATAAGAGACGGCTTAATGCATATGAAGTTATTGACTTCCTTGAAACAGACCGGGAGAGAGTTACAACTAATAGCGATAGCAACGAACCGACCAAGGAGCGCAAACGGCTACGGGAATTTACCTAGGAATTACCGGGCAGCTGCGTCATTAGGGAGGCACCCATTTTATGGTCAATCCTCAATACTCCAAGGGAGAGTTGCGAATTATCCTATGCAATTTTGTTTAGATACGGGTTCAGATACAAACAGTATCTCCGAAGACATCTGTACAAAATCAAAACGACATTGCATACGTCAATGGCGTTCCGCTCCTAACAGCAGCCCACGATATCACACTTGATCCTATGGAAAGAGTACATCGTATTTGTACGATCCAAGTTCCTCCCAACTTAACACGACAAAGTCTCATGGAACAGCTCCGGCTCATGGCTTATGTCAAAGGGAAACCGGAACCGATCGCTAACGTGAGAATGACAATCAAGCTCACTATTACGAAAGAATTGATTAGCAAATCCTATTCGATTCCACACAATCTCAAACCAGCGGCAAAGCTAGAGATTAAACGACTCCTTGACGAAGGAATAATAGTGCCAGCCACTACAGAAAGTTACGCATGCGCAGCCTTCCCCATCTACAAGAGGAACGGTAGCATCCGACTTATAATCGACTACAGGCCTATCAACGCTCATACGCAGCCGATAGCCTACCCCTTTCCAAAAATAGAAGAGGTAATCAAAGACATCCCCGACAGTGCTGTCTTTACACAGATTGACCTTAGACAAGGTTATCATCAGATTGAAGTAGAGCCAGAGTCGCGACAATATACGGCCTTCTTTTTCAACAATCGACATTACGAGTACACTCGTGTTCCTTTTGGACTCAAGAACGCAACACGTTTCTTCCAGAAGACGATACAAGGCATTATCGGCGATTTTGACTTCGCTAAAGTCCTTTTAGATGACATCCTCGTACATTCCAAGACGGAAGAGGAACACATTCGTCATTTCTACCAAATCATGATATTGCTCCACAACAACAACGTCATTATCAACTTTGACAAAAGTAACTTCTTCCAACAATCGGTAACTTACTTAGGACATATCATAGATAAAGATGGTGTACGCGCCAGTCTCGAACGAGTCAAAGAACTGGAGCACATTCAAACTCCACGGACTCGAAAAGATGTTCAAAAGATCATCGGACTTTTCAACTGGTTTAGACCATTCATCCCCGGATTGAGTGAACTAATTCTTCCATTAACTGATCTTACACACAAGATGTCAGCGAAGAAGAATCCTCCCATACGATGGACGGATCACCATGAAAGCATACGGCTACAAGTCCTAGAGATTATCAGAAAAGGTATTCTACTCAGTAGACCGGATCCATCAAAACCCTTTACGCTTCTAGCCGACGCCTCAAACTACAGTATTGGCGCCGGACTGACACAAGGACAAAAGCTCATTGGACTATACAGTGCCAAACTTTCCAAATCTAAACGGAATTACACAACCGAGGAAAAAGAGCTGTTCGCTATCATCAAAGCCCTAGAACACTTTAGGAATATCGTTTTCTTATCAGACGTTACGGTCGAAACCGATCACAAGAACCTGCTTAATCACAGAGCTTTAGACAAAAGCCGAGCAGAACGATGGAAATCCGCACTAATGGAGTATCAACTGGACTGGAAGTACATTCAGGGAAGCAATAATACGCTAGCCGATTTCCTCTCAAGGGAAATTTGGAAGATGCGATGCCAGAAGCGTCATAGGTATTTGGTTTCAGTCTGCAGATGAACCAGTACTGCTTTTGGATCTGTATTCGACGGTAATTATTCAGCAACTCCGAGTGAACGACCAGAACAATACTACAGTCGCAATCACGATGCAACATCACACAACTACGCACTTACATCATGGTTTGCACAACATGGAACCCAACAGATGATCCTTACATGATCAGGGAAGCCAATATGTTTCCAAACTAGCGTCAACTTTCGTACAATGGCAAGAAGTTAAACAATATCAACACTCCATACAATCCAAGAGGACACGCTATCTCTGAACGGATTAACCAAGGCAGTACGTTTATACTAAGCCATTTCAGACATAAATGCAGTATATTTGAACGTACTAAGCAAACAGACATATCACAGCTCAATCAGATGTACACCATTTGAGCTAGTCAAAGGATACCAACAACGGAATCTTTAGCAACGACGCCTTGACACAACTAAGTATGCAGTACTGCTAACGCACATGCACAAAGGCTAACACAAAGTAGTGAACACGCACATAAATCTTTAGGCCATACACTTAAATCAGGAGATTACGTTTATTGCCAAACAACACACGAAGTTTTCGAAATTGATATCAAAAGAGAAGGACTGATCAAGTTATATCATTTAACAGATTACGCACAGGCATCCATTCGAATACATTCAATGGACTGATGCAACGCAATTTACGACAACTACGACATGGAAAGCAGACTGATCAATTGCCAACAAGGAGGTTCTTGCAGGAAGGGGGACTTTTCTTAGGCGGAGGAGAATGTAGTGCTGTCATTCGACCACTACTCATTTCTCACAACGATCAACCTGATCACTGGCAAGCTACGCACTAGAAGCCATCTATTAATATTACTAGTTCCCGTAACTTTAATAGAATCAGGGTCTTA